TTCGGACAGGCCACAGAGAGGCCGCAACAGGCCTGCCAGCTGCCGAGAGGCCTTGGACAGGCCACAGAGAGGCCGCAGCAGGCCTGCCAGCTGGCGAGGCCTCGGACAGGCCTTTGGAAGTGCTTGGAAGGGTTCTGCTAGGCTTGGCCAACTGCTTCACCCTGCGGTGTCCCAGGCGCCTCCCCGCCTAGGCTTTGGCTATAGGCCGGGGTCGGCGGATATACGGAAACAATGGGAACGTAATAATATAAAGTTATCAAACAGTAGGCTCAACGTTCTATTGACGATTCAGTATGTTCCCAAATTTGGCCTATGCTAAAGTGAATGGGCCCACTAGAACAGGTGGTTCTAAGTCATACCCCTTTGCAACAGGCAGACAGCAGATCTGAGAACCAACGCTAAGACTAAGACCAACAACGATAAATGTGCGTTCGGGTAGTGGAACCATGGTTAGTGTTTCAAGAAATCAGTTGAGGACCACAGGATTTGGGTCAGTTATTGTTTTCGTTAGATGATCCACAAGCCATCGGACTAGAAAAGGTCAATTATAGGTCTATGTTTTGTCATGTCAGGCTTCGTCTCTCATCCTCTCTCCTTGGTTTTTGTGCCCAGCTCGTGCAGGACAAAAACCTTTTCCAGATGAGTGCCAAGGGTGTTTACGCCTTCAACTCCTCAGGCGGGACCTGAACAGTTCAATCACCTGCGGACCTGCGGGAGTGTTGCAGACCTGGACCGTCATACAAGACCCCGGGGTGGTTTTCCTGCCCTGCCCTGCCCTGCCTATACCCAGGATAGGTGAGTCTCCCGATGTCGCTAGGTAGGGATCCTGTCTCACAAGCGATCTCCAGATATGAACCACCCCGAAGTTGGGTAATTGATAGGTAATACGGTATATCACTAACCAAAGTTGCCTATTCTTAACGAGGTTCGTGCAATCAAATTCACGGGCTGGTTCTACGCGTTTCGCTTGGTGTCGGACATCCTCGAGTTCCAGTTTACTCAAGTCCAAGCATGTCCTTCAGAGCACCACCTGGGAATAATAAGTTAGAAGGAAGTCCTCAAGCCGTCCTTCCAACATCTTCCACCCGATCCCCGATGAGTTACTTCTTAGTGATTTCAGCACCCAACATCGACGCTTCCAGGGCATAACCTGTGGCACTACGATCCACCGGGCATCTCCAACAACGAGGTCTCACTCTATGGAGATCTTGTTTTGGGCTCAACCAAGGCGCGTGTCCACCCGGGGGACACCGGACCGAAGACCGGTGATGCAGAACCAGCTGGGTGGACGTGTGTGTTGGACGTCAGAAAGAGCTTAATCATGCTGAATCGCTTCAGAAACACGGAAAGTAGATAAAGACGAAGTGGTTCGGGCTCCGGTCATCGTGATTTGGAGAGGCTAAATCCAACATATATATATATGTCAACAAGTTCGTCAATATGCGTGTATGTATATATATACACATATTGTATGGATAGTTAATAAATATAATTATATAGATAATATACTAGTGAAGCTGCATAGATCTTTTGGGTGATGTTGGTCAAGGACGCCCTGGCTACAACCGTGCGACAGATTCTTCCCACTGTTCGCTGGTCTAAACTTTGGACCCAGCGATCAATGTTCCTTCGGAATTGAATTGTTGAAGCCGAGTCTGGAAGTTTTCTTCACCGAGCCGGGGTGCCTTGGCACAATCACCTCTCCAGATACTGATAAATGAGGAGTTGAAGAAGTTGACGGCCGAAGGCTGTCCTCAACGAGTTGTGAAAGAGTAATTATATAATATCAATATTCACCAGTCAGATCAGGTTAAAACTCGGAAGAGGAGGGAGGTGGTGCATGAGACAACACCTCGGAAACTGCTTGTTGTGTCGGGCTCATGTTTATCAAAAGGTATGAGCTAGAGTATGCGCCCTATTTCTCCAAGCACCTCATTGACACTGACAGGGCGTGAATTAGGATCAGCTAAGGGGCCAGTATCAGATTCTTTAGTGAGCACATCAGTATAACGGGCAGCTCCATCCAATTTGCCACTCCCGACTACTGGCTCCTCGCTCCTGGCATGGGTCAGAATTTGATCGACGTTGCCCCCCCCACGAATTGGCAGACAGCCGCAGGAATCAATCCTTGGCCCTCATGAGTCCAGTACCCTCAACCGCCCTCAAGCATTCTCAACCATCACGATACGATGAATTCATCAATCCATCCTCCAGCACCATGGGGTCCTTTGGCTTCTTGAGTGGGATGCCCTTCTCACATTCCGCATGTGTGTGCCAGACGGGCAATGCTTTTGCGGTGAATCGGAAGACGGGCGAGGAGAAACTTGGATGGTGAGAACTTACTAAGTCATTGCACCACAATCCTCCTAATGAGTCCTAATGTTTTGTCCCAGTCCCCCCCGCCATAAAAAACCAACTCCGTTTTATCAACTTACAGGCTGAAAAAAAAAGGGCCAGGTGGGCAGTGGGCAGCATGTACTTTTCAAGGCCGCTACCTATAGGCACCTTTGAGATCCCTTGGGTTTTGTGGAGCGTCGAACCGCAACATCCGGTAAATCTGGTCCAGTCTTTGGAAACCATGGTTCCTAGCCCTCGCTGCCTACTTGGCTGATCTGGCTCGGCCGTATGGGGCATTTGGAGATTGAGGGGCCCTCAAATCTCTCGAAGCCATTTGGGGAGAGAAGCCAATCCGCCAGATCTTTCAACTGGTGTGGTGTGCTTTTCAGTTCACATCATCATCTTCATCCCACCCTAGTGGCATGGTATGCGATGGTCATAAGAAGTCATAACATCATGATCATGCTCAGTATGGGAACAACTGTTCCCATTGTTGTTGCAGGTGTTGTTCTTGGTCCCACGTCATGGATTGGGCTCCACCTTAACACCATTATTGAGATAGCTGCTGAATCGACTATAGATATGTTATGATATGTTTATTGTTTCACATCTATGACTGACATCATGAAACACAATGAAAATCAATGAAACACCGTTCTCACTCGAACAAGTCTCCAAACACCCTTTGCCTTCACCAGCCCCGGTTTCCTCGCTCGCCCTGTTCGTGCGATCGCCCCACCGGCCCCAGGGTTTGGGTCACTAACCTGGCGAAGGACGCTGGCGGCGACTGCGGCTACCCCGGCGCCTCTGAGGGGGTGCCTTGGAGAACCACCAAGGGGAAGCGGTTTCAGAACTTAGGGGGGAAAGCTTCGATGTTCCCCCAAAAAAGATGATAAGAAGAAGATGGACCTTGATTTTTGCTAACATAATGTGAACATATAGTTTCTGACTGAAACTTGATTTGACTCGGGTACCCGCATTATCGTAGCAGATCCCGCTTTGCGCTCCACCATGAAACGGGGAAAGCATGGAAAGCATGCGAAAACCATCTTACCGACTTTCTTTGACCCATGGTGTTGCTGAGGACCCGCGAAGCTGTTGCTGAACGATTCGGCGCGACGTTCCCTCCAACTCCGTGTGTTGCGATGTTCACTCCTTCGCTATGCCAACGCCGAACGCTTCTTTTGACGTCGCAAATCCCCACATCGGAGTCCGGAGCGTTGCCGCGTTCGACTCAAACTGTGCGGTCTGACCCCTGCCGTGCGGACGAGGTCTTCGTGGTGGGTGCCGCCACTTGGGACAAGACTGGACGTATGAATGGGAGTCGTTGATCCAACGCCCCTGAACCACATAGACATAAATGGACAGTGGCGGTGCTTAATATGAGGGCCAAGGGGTATAAGAAATCGTCTAGCTGGTATTAGGTCGTCAAGAGTCAAGAGCTATATATATATATCATATGGCCTATAATGTATTGTGCGGTATATTTATTGTTTCTCAACCCCCCGTTTTTCTCAAATGGAACCAGTCCAGATGCGGCACGTCGAAGGGTGGGGATCAAAGGGTAGACGTTTTCCGAAGCGACCCGTGCATGGAGCGATGACCAATTCAAGTTGTTGGGACCAATGGACCGAAGTACCTGTGTAGAATGGACATGAATGGACCAACAAGTTGATTTTGTTATCTCCCCTATCACTATCGATAGGGACTATTGATATGTTAATCAGTGGTGAAGGCAAACTTGTCCGTGAACAGATTGGTTTTGGCTGGCAACTTCATTTGAGTCCTGCAGCTATGAACACCGATGCGTGTGGGGGGATTCAATGGGCAACAACGCGCTGTACAACAACAGTGTTGGTGTCCCATGCATTTTTCAACGTGCTGTTGCTGGCACCATGGTTGGCTTGCGACTCCAAGAATTAGAATCCACCGGCATTTTAGGACTTTTGAATTCTGGCCGGTTGAATTCTGGCCGGTTTTCTGGGTGTGTTGGTGCAAGGTTTGCTCTTGGATAAGGTTTTGATTTGGCTTTTTTCTAGCAAAGGATTGGGCTGGATGCAGCGATAGTCGCAAAAGGGTGAAGCTAAAGAACGTGCAGGTCGGTCGAATGACACATCCAGGACCCAATGACTGTGGTCGCTGGTCCTGCGAATCAAGGGTGGTTGGAGAAGCCACACCAGATCTCATCCGTTGGAAGGACTTGAGCCCAAAAAAATCTACGGTTGGATTTCAAGGGGGGGCCAATGTCTTGCAGATCACAGCACCTACCAGGATCTCTACCTATAAGGTGCCAATTCACAAGACCTATGGCCTAGATTTGGTGGTTTGGGATGGTGAATCTAGGCCATCTTTGCTCCACTTGGCAGCGTTTGGTGTAAATAATTTGCCTCCATGGTCTTCTTCAACGGACGGTTTCGGATTCGCGGGCTTTTTTCAGGAGATGGGCCACGATCCCGCCAGCGACGGCGGCAACGTCAATGTCTTTGGCCTCTCGGTCGCGGCTCATTGGGATTCAGAGTCACAGACTAAGAGCGGCGGCTTCAGCCTGAAGGAAGAGGAAGTCAGGATGCCACATGATGCGTTGTTACATATGCAATATCAAAAGTATTCATCGGCTTAGATCGATTTATGGAGCAGTTGGTGGATATCTCGACTTGTAAACCATCCCTCTTGCTTTACCCTTTACCCTTGCTTTCGCCGTGCTCACCAAATAAGAGCCTCGTGCGACCTGACGATTCCCGTCCAACGCGACCATCCAACGCGGCCTCCAACGCCGCGTGGCCGGCCAAAAACATCGCTCGAGGTGTCGATGCGAAGACGGGGGAGAAGTTGTGGGAGTATGGTGTGGACAAGCCCGTGTGGAACCTCACCCCGCTCTTCCCAGGCGTCACTCGGTGCACGGAGCATGGCGTGTTTGACGGTGTTTCTTTCATTCGTTGAGCGTGGAGCGTTGGGAGCTGGAGCCGTGGGGAAAGGGAAACAGGTGCTATTTTGTTGGTGACCATGTCCTAGGATGTGGTTCTCTGGAAGTGGTTGGACCAATTTTGCAAGGCAGTTGAGGAACATAAGATTATTCTTGTATCCCACCCTGTCAGTCAGTGATTCGAACCTATGTACCTCCCCATTGATTAGCAACATAGATCTTCTCCTACTGTGAGCCGCTTCGCCAAGAAACGGACGTCGGGAAGGGGTTGGTAACATATATATATATATATATATAGTGAGTTGTTAGTTCTTTACTACGCGCAATGTATGCTCCAAGATTCTAAGTGCATGATCCTCGTATTCTAACTGCATGCCATATTCTAACTGCAATGCTACTAAAAATAATTAGTTTTTGATGTGGTTTGCGTATTCTATTTGCAACTAATTGTTCTGAGCAGATTCTAAGTGCTAGCAACTCACTATGTATATATATATATATTAGTAGCCATCATATCATGTTAATTATGCTGCCTCAACACGACACCATGAAAATACAGCTCCAAAATCAGGCCGCTGATCCTACTGCTTTGTTGCATGTGTCTATTTCTATTGTAAAACCTTAGTATTGTGTTGGGCAGTGGCAGCCATACATGACCAACCATCATTTTTTGAAAAAAAGCGAAAAAAAGCAAAACAAAAGCAAATGAAAATGCAAAAGCAGCGCAATTTGCTTTGTTGTTGCATTTGTTTTGCTTTTTTTGCCTTATGAGAACTTATACCCGTCAGCAATATTTGCCGTACCCTCCTAGGAAAAAAGCGGAAAAAAAACAAAACAATTGCGAAAATAAAGCGAAAACAATACGAAAATAAAGCTTTAAAAGAAAGTGAAAAACACGCGACAAATACTCACAGCTACATGTTTTAGCTTTTTTTTGCTTTACCTTTTGTTTTTTTTGCTTTGTTTTTGCTTTATAAAACTTTTTTGGCTCCTTGTATCTATGGCTGGCGTGCCCGACATAACCTTAGTACGGCCATAAAACCAACATGGAACCTGATAAGATATCAACATCTAGTCGAGCGCACGCATTCACTTTTGGGCTAACTAATCGTCAGATCCCATAGAGGCTCATACTTATGTCAGCGTTTTTGCAGGGAGCACAGCTTAAACGAATTCACCGATCCCACGGCCTTTCCTGTTGGCTTTGCCTAGACAGTGCGCCTAGACTGCCCTGCCCGAGGATGGCTCCACAGTCTTCATGGACTTCGCGGGAGGGATGTACAAGTTGAACTTGAAGACAGGTGGGACCTGGGAGACCTTTTGGACTTCAGCTCATCAAGGCTCACGTGAAGCTGAGTGACCGGGCCCCATCAAGCGGCCCCCAAGAAAAAGCAGCAAATCAGCTCATGATTCACATGAAAGTGATGAAAACAGGGTGGGTTTGGGTTCATTTCTGAAGTGCGATGAAGGTGATCAGTCTTGGACTCATACATCCCCTGACTCCCACGGGAATAGGCCCCATTAGGCCCCGGTGCCCTGAAAGATGGTCAATGCATAGCACAACTTGCTGTAAATCCAAGTTCAACCCAAAGGCTCTTCAGCCACAATGCAGCATCGCCGGATCGCCGCCGTTGCCATCGCCCAGGGGCCGAGGTTTGGAAGACCTTGCCTGAGACCTCCCGTGCCTCCTTCTCCGACGGCGGCGCCACGTTGGGCCCCAACGGCTTGGCCACTGGGCGTTCGGTGTTCGGGGTGCCAACCTGGATCGGGTTCTCCACAGAACGCGTGGTACAAACGAGAGTGGAGGGCCAAGTTGGCCCACAATCTCCAAATCGAGTTCAGTTCCAGTGGGGTTCCAGAACTGGAGCAGTTCGGAACTTTGGAGCAGTTAGGCTGTGTGTTGTGGATCTTGGCGATTCCCACTGGTAGCGGCATGTCAACATATGTCAACCTGCAATGCTCCACATGATGGTTGCACTCTGTTATGATTCTTCGATGAGATGGGTTGTGCTAATGTATGGAACATCCCGGTCTGGGTTGGCGGACTCCTGCATGAACAGATTTACTGTACACCATTGTACACCCAGATGATCGACTGCTTTTCAGGATGTCAAAGGGGGAAGTGGTCGGGATTGTGTGCCAAGTTCTTTGGGCAAAACGTCAGTGCGCTCCTTGAAGATGGGCTTGTTTTCACCTTTGGCGTCCAGGCATAAGCATCTAGCTCGTCCCAATAAAGCTTCTCGACTCAACTTGAACAAAAGCATGAATTCATGAATTCCTGTGCTTCGCCCACTCTCGTTCGAAGGAATTGGATCCTCTGACTGAGGTCTACACCTGCAGCAACTTTGGGGAAAACCGTGGAAGTGAAGCTTGGGCTTATGGAAACAAAACACGAGAACATCAGATGGGGAGTGGTGGAAGCCCCCACGTCTGCGAACATGACAACAAACCGTTCCGCAGGGCCAGGTCCAATCCAGAGTAGGAGTGTTGGTTTGAAGCTATACATCAAGCAGTGTAAGTAGCAAGAGTCGCCACTTTTGAAGCATTCCTAGTCAGTTGAGCAAATCCACCGTGAAAAGTACCATGGGAACTATCCAACTGGGGTAAAGAGTGCCAATCATTGTTTCTCCTTAAGCATTCATTCATCTCGTTCATCTGCTGTTGTGAGGGTGCTCAGAGCTCAGAGAGGAGACATCCAAATATCATCTATAGATCGCCCCGATGTTGGCGTTCGATGTCCCAAGGGAGCGGCCTGACTGTGTCCAAACACGCAAGGACTTGACGAAGAGGCAACCAAGTTGTTTTGATCCATTTTCTAGGCACATTTTCTTGAAAATGGCATATTCATCATTGACCAGAAAATTCGAGGGATTCACATTTGTGTGTTTGCCGGTAGAAGGAGAGACCGATGAGTTGCCCAGTGGTGCCGATGGTTTTTTCCATGTTTCTCGTGACAAACCCATAGCACTTTGGTCATCTTTGGTCGTTGCAAGCTCGACCTCCGTCACCAACCGCTCGCCGGAATTGGACCAACGAATTTCATCCGAGCCTGGGAATCCTGAGGGGTCGGTCCATTGGTTGAGGAACGAATTGGAATCGAGCATTTGGGACCCACATTTTTATGGCACCATCTCTTTCATCATCCATCTCTAAGAGATCTTCAAGAGTTCCATGTGTTATTTGTCCTCGCAACTCGCAACCCTGTCGTTTGACGGCCCACAGGCAACCGCACCGCACACGGGAAAGCCCTCCGCGCGGCGCTATAAGGAGGGAACCACCGGAATGGTTCGAGCCTTCCGCCTGGACAATGGCACTCAGGCCTGGTACAAGGCAGGCAGTGCGAACAGTGAGATTCGGGCCACGGGCGGCCAAGATTGGAGGCAGGTCAACAATATCACTAATATCACAGGCGGGTTTGGGATGCAATAAATAAACAATTTGAAATTGGAATCGTCCAAAAACTGGACCATGCAACGCTTAGTATTCAAGGTTTTTGAATGTTATTGAGCTTGATCACGAAAGCTAGTGAAGCTAGCTGGAGTTACTCTTGCGATAGCAAGGTTTCTTTCGAGCGGGTGCAAATCCTCCCCCCTCTCCTCCTCCTTGTCTTCCTCCCATCTTCCCTCTTGGCAAGTTCGACTCCGTCCTGTCGTCGCTCTTTGGTATGCGGTTAGCGTTGCGTATCTTGCGGCCGCACTCGCTCACTCTCACTCTCACTGTCTCACTGTCTCTCTCATCTCTCTCATCTCTCTCATCTCTTTCTCATCTCTCTCATCTCTCTCTCCTCTCTCTCTCTCTCTCTCCTCTCTGTCTCTCGTCTTTCCGTCTCTCTTCTCTCTCTTCTCTCGCAGGAGGATCCGGGCAAAGAGCCACATATAAAGGACTCTTCACCCCTGCCTCCAAAAAGAGCGCCGTGTTTTTTCCTACCTGGCTGCCCTCCACTTTCCCATTCTGGAGCGCTAGCTTTCGCCCCCCCCTTGGCCTCAAGTCATAGCTGATCGAATGTCAAACTTCCAGAGCCTCCAGCAAAGCGGACGAAACACCATTCCTTGAAACGTCCATGCTTGAGAACGTCAAGAAGGAAAGAACGACCTTTCCAACATTCTGCCCTGTCCTTTTTGCTAGATCAAACTGCAATCATCAGACTCCCCTTTGTCTCTCCCTATACGATGTGAAGCGGGGTCATCATGATTGATAAGGACGAACTCGCCTTAAATGTTTTCATTTATCGAGTAGACACGGGTTTGTGCTGTGGTTCACCGGGGACGGCTGACCGTCGCCGGATATCAATGGATCGACTACTTCAGTGAAAACCGATGGACACTGGGGTCCTCGGTCTTTGGATTCATCAGTGGATTGGAAATCATCCCAGATCCTCGAAACGTTTGCAAGACTGGGAAGATGTGGGAACACTGGAGTTACTGAAGTTGGACCCTTTTTAAAGCATCGTCATCGTGGTCATGTTACGATCTCGTTAGTATTCATTGTTGTTGTTGATGATTCATGTTGTTGTTTTGTTGTTGTTTCAATCATGTGCATGTTCACCTATCAATAAATGTTGTGTAATAATTATGTGTCAAGGACTGTATGAACCTAACCTATCAGCGTCTTCCGCGGGAAGAGCCGCGGCCAGATGACCACCATGCCGTGCAACAGCTATCCAGCTGTGCCTTGGTGGAGTAGTTGGGACTCGGGCCTGACATGGCATTTATTTATTTTAATCTATGGCTTGGGCTTGGCTCATTAGCAGGAACAGTTGATGAAGAATGGTCAGAATGGTTCAATTACTATTTGTATCTATTTGTAAGGGCCTTCATTGCTCATTGGATCCCAATCCATGGCTTCCTGGCGATTCCACCAATATCAACAGTAAACCATCACTCTAGAAAGCGAGAAGCATTGAGGCCCCTTTGTGTCTTAATTTTTGAGACACGGTGGACAATCGCGTGCCTTATTGGCTCAAGGTGTTCAGGCTCAAGCCTGAGTGTTACCATGATGCAATTGAATCGCTATTTCACTTGGCTGTGTGCTGTTGGCTTTCTACATCTACCTCTGGTCGTCAGTTTGGCCAGTGCAAGTGCTGACACTGCCGACAGCTGCTCCTTGCTCCAGCGGCACGAGACCCAGTTACGGGCTCATCCGTCAGAGGTGCCTGAGGAGCTCAATGCATCGCACTGGGCTCGCTGGTGTTGGAATGGACTTGAAACTGTCGTTGATCGTGAGATCTTCCTCATCCACATCGGAAAGATCGCGGGCTGCTCCTTAGTAGGAGACCTTTCCAAGCTGGTGGGCCGAGACAACATCTGGACGGCACAGGTCTGCTGGGACAAATCTACCGAAGCCAAGTTTGAAAAGACGGTGCTGATGCTTCGCCGTCCGAAAGACCACCTCTTGTCCATGTACCATCAATGCCTGCAGCCGGGGCCCTTGCACATCAAAGAAATGGAGAGGCGTGGCATTGCGCCGGGTCAAGCAGGTTTCATCCTGCCGAACTTCGGAGACTGGGTCCGGTCGTGGAACCAGCATCCACCGAAGAAGTTCTACCACACGGAGGGCCATTACGACGAGAGGTATCACTGCAGGGATCCCCGAAACCCGGCTGGCTGGCAACTGACCTGCACGGAGAAGGGCGACCGTCCAGTCCACATTGACGAGAAGAGATCGCTGGCGATCCTTCACTCTGCCAGCGTCGTAGGGATCTTGGAGGCCTATCATGAGAGCATTTGCCTCTTATCTGCGAAGTTAAGGAACTCTTTGCCCAGTCATTGCAACTGCGAAGATGCAGCCGCTTGGGATGCCTTCGTGCCGCTTCATATCGACCACAACCATACCTACAGCAAGAGGGCGGACGACTATGACGAAAGCATCCAGAAGGACATTGAAGGGTTAACACAGGTGGACCGGAAGCTCTACCAGGCCGGAGTGACAGGATTCATTAAGGAAATGGATGACCTGGAGAAGACCTTCAAAGTTAAGGTTCTTTGTCACCAGCAACGCCAGACACTTTTAAGCGCAGCATCAGGATGATATCTGTTTGGCGTCAACGGAAATCACCGGCTCATGGCGCCAGTGAAACTAGGCTGCCCAGAGGCGCGTTTGGTACTCTTCTACCACTGCGCAAAAAAGTTTGATGAATGAAGAGGTTTGTATTATAGCGGGCTATCTCGTTTTGGTGATGCTGGGGCAGAGGATGCTGATCGATAGAACTACGAACACCTCGATTCACGTTCGCCCTCCCAGTAACAGGCCAAAAAGCATCAACAAAAACAACCAACCACAACTTTAGAAGAGGCCCCGCGTTGCATGTTAACCTGGTAACCTGCACTATCGGCTGTCATCAGGATGCGGAGGGAATCCAATGCCTTCACATGGTCCATGTTCGTCTTTCTCACCGGGAAAATCCACTTTATGAGAGCTTACCTGATGCAGGCAAGGCACTCCTTTTGGAACTTACTACGCAAAGAACAGTGCGGCCGACATTTCCGTGCAATACTCTTCAGCACTGGTCACTGGTCAAACAAGCACACAATCACAATGGCATAAGCTTGGCCTTTTAACCACGCATTATTTTCACTATACTATGATGCTGGAGGATTGGACGATAATAGACGAATATAGATGATATAATTACGCTGTCTAAACCCAACCCCTATGGTAGACCCTGGCACTCGTGTCAGACATTAAGCTGAAGGACCAATGACCAATCACTTTTGGTGTAACCTTTTCAGGTAGGCTATTGTTTAGCTTCCTTCTAGCGCAGGTGTCAAATTCCGGAGACTTGTGTTTGAACTTGACAGATGGATGCAGAGAGAGAGAGAGAGAGTCGTGGACAGGGAGGGAGACATTTCCGCATACTGGAAAATCCTGCTGTTTGAAAATCAGTCTGATGGATTGGTTTGATGCTTATGCTAGCATCTGCTGTCTCGGATGTCGTCTCCGCGAGTGAGGTCGGACACATCCATGGGGTGTCACCACTGGCCGTGGTGGTCACACCCGGGTCCTTCATGGGGCAAGAGTCGCTTGGACGACTGGTGGGGTTCGCACGCCTTGGCTTTGACTCAAGTGGTTTGACCCGGTGTTCTTGATGTTACATCATATCTCTGATAAATCTCTATTATAATATTATACTGGGTACAAGTGACCCAGGATTAGTCGGACAAGGCTGCAAAAACACTAATCCTAAGTCAGTAGGAAATGTTAAAATTTGACATTTTAGCACTGGTCCTAATTGTCATCAAGCTAAAACAATGAAAATGCGGCCAAAAATTGTTAGTTCCGGAGATTCTTTAAACGAGTGAAATTCACTCACAGACGGTGATGACGTAGGACTAGTTGACAGATTGCAGATACCATAAAGATCATGACTTAGGAGAGAGAGAGGGAAAAAAACTGGGGTGGATCCTAAGTCATCAGACATTAGAGGGTATACTCACATTTTTCCTAAGTCATGTAGGAAATGAATAGCAAAAATGTCCAACTCTGGGCTCTAACAATGTGATGACTTAGGAAAAATATGCGAACAAAAACAAGACGACAGCCTATGTCATCACCATTTGTCATCCCACAGCTTGGACATTGTTTCTATTGTTTTTTCGATCATATGATGCAGTTGCCTGGAGGTGCCTCGTACACAAGTCCTAAGTCATCAGCATTTAGTTTGGACAGGGTTTGTACCGTGCACTTTGCCGTTCGCTGATGACTTAGGAGTTGGTAGCGACAAGTCCTATGTCACCGGTACCCAGTATATATATATATATGTACCTATACACATACACGCACACATACATACTTGCAAACGCTCACACACACAAACAAAACGACGCTTGAGCTGCTCGGTGCCCTGGGCTTGGACCAGTTTTGGCATGGACTATAGACAGACTCATGGAGAACCTTGCAACCTCAGCACCTGAAGCGTTGTATTTTTGAGGGTTCCCACTTATATAAACTTGTCTCAAGAAATGGCCAGGGGGCTTGAGGTTTTGATAGAAAATCCATGAAAATCCTGCCGCCCTAGGCCCCTCCACCACCCCAAGACCCTTTTGAAAGGAGTGGCGCCTCACCGGACTCCACACACGCGCTCCTCCGACCCAAGTATTTAGTCACACTTCCCCAAGCTCATATGTTACAAGACCACATTTGTCCAAATACCAAGTGGGTTGGTATGTCAGGTAGAGGGTAAGAAGGAACATTCCAAGTTGTGCTGGGACACTTCTGAGGGGCCCCGCCCGCTACTGCAACAACTGTTGTTCCAAGAAGTTGTGTGCCCAGCCCTGACCACAATGTCGTAAGGAACTTGCATGGTCAAGTGCTGGCGCTCAATGCGAACACTGGCCACCTGGCTGCAGCGCCACAGTAGTTTCAGAGTCGATGGCTCAACCCATATTTTGCACAGTCCAGCTCGCTGATGTGTACGTTGAGAATGCGGGGAAGCCTATTATGTTTTTAGTAGCAGCTAGTGTTCTACTTCCACACTGACACTAGTGAGTTGAAGTGGATCCACATCTCAATCATGGTCATTCATTCTGGTGTACTTAATGTTGTCATTTACGTCGGGCGAATCACTTTAGTTTGTTTGACCTCAGCCCATTGGCGCCCGTTTGACCTCAAACCGACCCAGGCGCCGTCCGTGCACAGCGACCCATGGAGCCGACCCAGGCTCTAGATCGACCCAGCGGTAGCATGCGTAGCATGAAACTGGAGGACGAGGTTGGCCCAATAGGGGTGTTCCCATGCAGGGTAGCACGCAGTTCCCTTGGAACCACGGCTGGTGTTGATGATCCAAGTCATCCCACTTGCCGGGCGATGCCAACAGCTCCGGTTCTTCTGATGGATGGTGCCATCCTGTAATGCTTTGAGGTGACCGGGTGACCGTCACCCCTCAAGATAAAAGTCAACAAGTCTAAGTATTATTTCCGCAGGCATGTAGGTGGATCAAAATTATTTCTATCATACAGGAAGAACCATGTGGATGATGCTGTAAAGAAACTAACATATTATGTTGTCAACAGATTGTGCCAAATATGCCCAGAATGACAGCATTGAGCATTGCATTGTGCAGGCTTGATTGAAAAATTATGTTGCAGGTGGCGGGGGTGTCAGAACAAACATATTGTTTGAACGCGCGAGCAACGAGGTAGGAAAAGGGGAGTTGAGTAGAGGTGGGGACAAGCAAGGTCCCTCTCCCAGGCAGGGGGATGGATTTGGTGGGTGATTCATACCACTCTTCCCCCTGCCTTAACATATTGGTGGCGTAACTACTTCTGAGCTGTCATACCCCCCCAAATAAGTACGAGCGTATGTGGGTACTACCACCTCATTTTGAGGTGGGTGGGAAGGTGGGTGGGCCTTGGGGATGGTTCATTTCTCCTGCCTCGGAAGCGGAGCTCCGTTTGGGCGGATAGTCAGGCCCTGCTGGCCATCGATTGACCCCCGTTCTCGTGTCATCATTCGTCTGACATGCTACATTAGTTCATTAATTCAACCAAATACTCCCCTCACAAGTCAGATTGGACATGGATTTCCTTTGCCAAGATCACGGACATGATATATTATACACGTACTGTATAATCTAGTAATATATATATATAGAGATATAGCTATTAGGCTATATATACACAACATTATGAGCATTTGAACATACATAATCTCTATATATAACATATTATAACATATCTAGCTATATACTGTATATATATACCCTTTGAACGTGTGAACTATGACTACAAGTGGTTTCGCCCCACGACCTTGCTGAGGCGAGCAGCTGTGGCGGCACGACATGAAGCCTTACAGCGGGCTTTTTGGAATGGCGGCGGGCGACACCGAGGGCTCTTTCACCCGCCAACTGGAGGGGATTCAGCAGATTTGCCTGCCAGCCACCTGGAGCAAGTGCCTGGTGTTCCAGTGCAGATAGGTCAGGAGATAAATTGGTGGGTTTGTTTGCTCACACCGGAAGTGTAGACATTTGCATTGAGACCTATGTGGGATCATTGACAAAGCGGTTTCTTTGAGCTGGAGGGTGCATTACTGGAAGTTTCTTGAGTTGGATTTAAGATAGAGCTTTTCGGTTTGTCTGGATTATAGCTGGGGGCTTGGTTTCAATCTTTTGTTCACAATCCACCATGCTGCAATGAATGCACCAACCTCGCTCATTCAGCACAAGCATGGCCGCTTAGATGATCACCAACTCTCAATGGCTGGCACAGTTTGTCGAGATTCTCTACAAATTTAGCGTGTGCACTGTGCACCTGCCAAACATCATCCTAGCCACCAGGTGCTAGGTGAGAAGTTTGGGATAGTTGTGGATTGTTAAGGTAGAGAACTGGGGCCTAGGTGGCCTAGTTGAGCTACATGTTTCTTTGTTGCTAATTCTTTTCCGACCAAGACTCTCATCCTCTAGACTAGGACCCCAAACGATACCCTTTCACAGTTTGTGGAAGAGCATCATTCCAGGACGGGACTCCATGTTTGACATAGGGCGCGTGGTGTTTTGTTTTCTTCGGACCGTTTTTGTATCATATGCTATGTGTACAATTATGGACATGTTGCACATTAAAACGAAAACATGTGGTCTCAGTGACGTTCTTCAGTTTAGCCGGCACGGTCTTATAAAGTAAGATGTTGCATACCCCGTCCATCTCGTGCTGCCAAATCTCGTCACATCTCGGCATCTCGTGCTGCCGCGAGGCACACTGGAGCGCCCCGATGATTGATGGTGATGGGATGGTCATCGCTGGCCGATCCGATGGAAACATGTACAAGGCACACGACATCGCTGGCGCGGAACCCGCAGTGACCCCCAGCGCCCATTCACACGACATCCCATGGGGAGGGTGAACTTGGTGTTGGATGTTTTGCATAAAGGTTATTGAACGGTTATTGTTGAATATATATTGGAATCATGTCATGCCCAGTGACAATCATTGTAGCAATAAGTTCAAGGGGATGGCATTATTTGGGCCAGCCTTAGGGATGAACAAAGCTCCGCAAACAAAGAATTCGTGCCAGCGCAGTTAGGAATTTGGCAATCGGAGTAGCTTGGCGCCATCATTTCATCAACCAAGTTTCAACCCTGGCAGCTTGGAGGACGCAAAGACAACATGTGTTTCATTGTGTTTCATGACTTGGAAACCACCCTTTTCTCGGTTTCTCACGGCCGACGACCGTTGGTTTCTCCATTGGTCTCCTGTGTCAGCCTCGCCTCGGCCTCGGCCTCGGCCTGCCGAAAGCAGGTCTTTGGCCCCACCGAAAGCTTCAAGGGCACTCAGTCTCAGGCCGTGGTCGTGACGTCAGTCGCGTGACTCGGACGACTGCAGTCGATCGGTTTGGTGTGCCACGCAGAGCCTGAGCCACGCCGAGCCGACCGGGTCAAGGCAGGTCAAAGCGGGTGATATCTCGTGTGATTGCACTTCTTCTTGGGGTGTATAAGCTATTTGAGTAGGACTCCTTTCGCGCACTTGTTGCGTCCATCATGTTTTGAAAGGTATTTGCTAACGAGAATGGTACGAGAATGCCACAGTGTTTGGAGGTGAAGAAGCGCTTTTGGACTCAATTTCAATTTCGAGTTCGACGGCCATCAGACCCAACGAGAGCATCTAGTAATACAACATATAGTATTACTATGTAAGGCGTTGCAGTCCATTTTTCTTGGTGCGCATGGAAATGCTTTGCCGCCTATAGCCACATCAATTCTTTTCGCCATCGCATTGGGAGGGGTTTGAACCAAGCAGAATCTGGGCTATGAAGGCCATTGAGACTAAGCTTGCTGAGATGAGTCAGGCATCTCAGATCTTCACATGCGCTCTGACTTGGCGTCCACCTTCAGAGTCCCACTGTCCTCGCGACCTTCACTTTTGTTCCCGCTGCCCGCAGAACATGACGGTGGACAGTGGGACCATCTCGGAGAAGATTCCTTTGGGCTCTGCCTTTTTGCATGGCACCCGGGCGTGTTGATGGGACGGGCGAGACGGGCGTGTTGATGAACCGCTCATCGAGTGGCTGGCTGGGTCATTAATTTTTGTTCTAAATATTAATGTATATACAGGTGCTTTAACAGGTTGCTGAGAAATTTGCGAGCTGTTTAGGACCATTCTTCAGTAGTCTCGGAGTGGGGGAAATATGACAGATGGCACACGTCACCTCAGAGTTTGTGAGCATCTCATATCCCTACTCAAAAACTGTTATAGAGATGGTTGGCTGCTTTGTGTTGCACATTCTTCGGCCTGTCCAGGGGCTGTGCATGAGTGCTTGTGTGTGGTGAGGTGCTTTGGCCGCGGCACCGGGGATTTTCGCCATCTCCTCCTGCGACACGCTCTTTGTCTTCCAGCGCCTTGGATTGGTCACGTCCAAGACGGATCGATGAGAAACCCTGACACTATATGACACTATATTCTACATACATGATACTATATATGTTATATCGAATATATGACTACATTGACCTGGGGTCAACTACCCCAATGTAGGTATATTGGCCAATCTGACATACATGATGTGTTTGGAAAGCGCCGGTGGGTTTTATCCGCTTAATGTGAGCTACAGTGGACAGGCTGATCAGATATATACCTTCGAGCGAAGGGCACATCATGAATGTAAATGTGTGTATGTACGCGTTTCAATGGAATTAGTGCATGCATGCAAAACATAATGGAATGGTATGGTATGGTATGGTATCGTATTATATATGCAATGCATGTAGGTATGCATGCATTGATGCAATGTAATCAATGCATTTATGTAATGCAATGCAACGGAATGGAATGGAATGGAATTGCATGGAATGCATATAATGTAAAGTAAGTGTGTATGTAATGTAATGTAATTTGTGTAATGTGATGTGATGTGATGTATGTATGTCACTTTTGGTTTATATGCAAATGTGCACCAGTTCAGGAAGTCCAGTATACCCAGCCTGCCTCAATTCCAAGGGATGTTCGCCGTTGACATTAATCTAAACACGCCTCGGCAATGGCACAACATATGACATGTGGATGATCGTCAAGGGCACCGGCGGACAGGTTAAACATGTTTTTTCAGGGCCCTGGTTGTGATAGGCAATTGGAAGACATGTGATCAGTGATAGGTCTATTGCAGACCCATTGCAGGTCCATTAATGCTGGTGCCGGACAGTTGATGATCTACAGTGGTTTCAGAGTAGATGGCCCAATCACCAAGAGGTGGTTTATATGGACCCCATCTAAAAGACATGTAGGGGTTTGTGCAATCTACTCTGAAACCACTGTACTTTCATACTTCCTGACAGTCTTCTCCAGTTTTTTTTTTTAATGAACGAATAGTTATATCTACACATTGGTGGTGAGATGCTCATGTTTGGGCATGTCCGTTCTCTATATGGGAGAAGGCATCAAAAATATCAACAGCCTGAGTTCTTAGTGAAGCTTGTGTCTCTTCCAGGTTCAATGAATTCATACGAATTTGTTGCACCTTTTCGCCATCAGAAAGAACTGATGGTCCCTTTTCGCTCAGACTCCGACACGACAACCGCGCCGCCGACTGAGGAAGTGAGAGGCCGACCAACTTCGACTCGATTGGGTTCAATTGGTCGCTGCACCTCCCGGCACAAGAGTTGCCGGCCGCTGTCGACAAGGCAGCCAACGATAAAAGGCAGCCGCTATCTGGGACGTTCATGGGGGCATCGTCGGCAACTTTGCAAATGATACCTCAGTGAACATGTAAAGAAGTGGAGGCAGAATGGCGTACTCAATGGGTTTTTGCAGGGCTTCGGGGAGATTTGAAATCTTAAGTGCTCCAGCCTTCCTGCCTGGGTCATTCTTTGATTCCAGCAAGAGGAACGTCCACCCCTTTAGACACCACCAGTAGGGGCTTTCAAGGTCACAGTAGAAACGGGTGAGGCTTGCACGTACGAGTCAGCATCGACGATTGATCGACGTTCTCTCCGCTATGGAGAGCAGTCCTGATTCCTGGATTAGAGATTACAATAGAGCTGTTTGGAAAGACTGCACCCTGAGTGTAATGGAACTCCTCAAGCCATAGGAGTTTGGGTTGTTGACTTTCATGACTTGAAAGGGCATTCATTGGCTGTCCCAGTGGCTGTTGTACCCGGGTGTCCCAGGTCACTTGCTACTTCTGCCTGGTGCCCCAGATGATTTTGGGGTCCGAGAGGGCCCTTTGGTATGTAGGCCAAAGTGCCCTAATTCAAGAATATGATCAATATGTTTGATTCAACTACTGTATATGTTTGGGCCGACCGGGTGCTCTGTGTGCTTACAACAATGTTACATTAGTTATAGTATGTTTCTCATTTGTTTCTTTTTCATAACCTCATCATGTGAGCCTCATTCAGCTCAGAAGCTGAGGAGATGTGGCAGTGCAGTGTGAAAGACTAACTACACTGCACAAAGGGCAGCACTTCCCGAAACATTCAGTTCCGGGCTGCTTTGGGGGTAAGTGTGCGATTCAAGAACTCTCCAAACACTATCAAATGGGTTGTTCATTTGTTCATTGACTTTTGGCTCATTGTATTTGGTATACGCTATGATGAATGATGGATTCTAGACTTAGACCGGTTCAAAGCAGTTTTCCGTACCTGCTGGCTATGCCTGCGCTGCCCAGACCTGGACGAGGGAGGTGTTTTTCCACGGTGGCCGTGGCAGCGGTGTGCCGTTTCTGCTCGGAGATGTGCGGAAGAAAAGCACGCGACAGAAACAACAATACCCCGTTCTGAGCTGGAGACTGTGGGCTAATTTGCTTTGACCCAGTTTGTTTCTTTCCTGTGCCCATGGGCACATACCACTGATAGACGGAATAGACGGATAGATCCAAAGCTTCGATACAAAGGGTGCAAAGGGTGCCTTGTCACCGGTGTTTCGTCGGCGTTGAAGCGCCCCGTGACCCACCGGTGGCAGCCGCTGACGCCCCTCGCCGCTAAGGCCGCTCTCGCCGCGCTCCGCCGCGGAGCGCGGCGAAACGAAGGTCGCGTTGGGAAAGCGGAAAAGGTCGTTGGGCGCCGGGCTGCGCAGCCGCTTCGGTAGACCAGCAGACCGAGTGAGAGGGTGATAGCCACACTTGAGCCATTCGAACAACCTCGCTCATAGAGTTAGAGTGGCATTATATACAAGCCCTGGGCGGCATAAGCAATGTTGAAGGACAACTCTTTGCGACTCTCTTTGCGTATTTGTTTAGATAAACTCTCACATGTTCAATGTCCATGTTTCCTGTTTTGCCCCTTTGGGTGCCTGGGTTTGACGCAGTTAGCACTAATTTGTTTGTTTCCCGAGTTGTGCTGTCAGCTGTCACTGTGTGCATGTGCACACCGCGGCGGGGCGGATGCATGTGTATGCCGTAGTGGGCTCAAGCAATCAGCCAACCTTGACTTAGAGGTATTGTATATGTATAGTTTAGGAACTTGAAATCAATCCAGCACATTGCCAAGTTTAGTACAGTACAGACTTCAGCAACTTCACAAGTTGAATGTAACAGTGGGCCTGTCTCAAGCTTGATTGTTGTTCTATTTTCTCACAACCGGACGCTTCCCTCAAGTTGATCATCCACAGAATATGTGCAACTCTTTCACCGCAGCTGATCCTGCAGTTGATCTTCGGCTCATTGCGAGGATCTTTATTGCCAAACTTGACATTCCACCTCACATCCATCAGGATCACCGAAATAACCAATGAACAAAACCCACCTTCAGCTGGAGAACCGGGTTCGGCCTGATGGTGAAGGGGGAGACGTTCAGCAGGATCATGAAAGTAGTGAATGATCATGTTTTATCCCGAGTAACCACTTGACGGAGTGTGTTAAAGGCGCGCTGCTGCTTGAAAATGGCCATTGTCACAACCTGACAAACACCTCCAGCAGGCTTGGTTCCTTCTAGATCATACCAGGCCGTGTAGTGTACATGGATCAGTGCTGCACCTAAGGAGGAGAGGGGGTCATTGCACCAAGAAACTCAGAGTGAGTGGAATTTCTGCAAGGCTTCGCGGGCTGAAGCGCTTCTCACTCCCACGCGGCGCACGCGCCCGTTGTACAGCCACAAGATGGCCGGAAATGCTTCACTGTGTCACTGCAGTCTTCCACTCCGCTTCCAAATTCCGGATGGTGATTCTGACAGGCCATGTTTGCAGTGACCAAACGCGGATTTCCGCCACAAGACCTGATGGGTTGATGTTGATGTCTTGGAAGTCTAGTTTCTGACAAGGGAAAACGCCGTCAGGCGATTTACAAGACGAGGTGGGTGTTTGCAAGTGACTAAGGGGTGGCAACAATGCCTCTCCTTGTAGGGTTGGATGAGACACGAAGTTACCGATCAGCAAAATAGTAAGTGCTCCGTTCTCTTACAGAGGATCGACTTTTGCGTGAAGCAACTTGTGTTGCAACGCTGTTTGGGGCGTCGGTGACAAAACCATCCAAGGCAGCCTTGTTTAGACCTCCGCTTGGAACAACTGCATTTAGGATTAAATTGCCATATCAAAGCTTCAGAGATTGAATTGAGCTGCTTTGCTCAGTCCAGGTTGCAGCGAAGTTGTATTCATTGTGAGGTTCAACATGTTTCAGATAAAGGCTGATTGAATGTCATCCTGATTTATGTGTTGGTAGAGCCATGTCAGGTCATGTGTGCGCAAGTTTCTATGTAGATGTAGATCTTCAATAGCTTGCCTCGACAGGCGATTGTCTATTCTTGCTTTGCATCATAAATCGATTGGAAAGTGTCTCAAGGCAACAATTGCTTCAAGACCAAAGTGCCTTGAGTGCCTTTGCCTTTGCAGGGCAATTGTCACCAGTGCAGAGTAGAGGTTGGTAGAGCTTTGCCACAGCCAGCTGTGCCAGATTCAGACCGGTCCTAGTCGCAGCTGTCCAACGGTCAGACCTGTAGGCCCTGAAAGCTTGTCCTTCAGAGCGTCGAGAGAGAAGCCTGTTCAAGTTAGCAGAGAACATTTGTCCAAGTCCTATTTCTGCCGGGCAGCCGGACATGCTGTTACACAAGTCGTGTGCAGTCACGAAAAGTGTACTATTGGCGTGCCGTACCTTTAGGCTTTTCTCCATATGCGCTGTGCAAAGCCTCACCCTTTCTGGCCTCCCATGTGCGCATTCGGGACTAAGTGACAGACTCACCAGGAACCCCCTGGTGCGCCAAAGGGCCGGGTTTCGAGGCAAGACCGCCCACTCAGCATTAAGAAAATCAAAAAAGTCAACTCAGAGCCCTGCTTTTCCACCACATCAGCCGGCTTCCCTCATGTTTCCAAGGTAGAAGCACATCTGAAGACAATGCAGGCGTCCGTGAGCTGAAATTGTCATTCTTGGGGGGACATGCATGGACATCCAAGTCTTTCTCCATCAGTCAATCACCTTGCCTGGGAAGGGTCTTCGCTTGTTCTTGTACCAAGAGATTGATATCTACCGGCAACCTTTCAATGTGTAGTCAGACAAGCTGCACAAAGACGTATACAATGCGACGGCTCTTCACCACTTGCCCCTTAAGCTTTGCGGTCAGAGTCAGAGTTCGCGTGTGCTTTCAACCACCGCAAAAGCCCCTTGCGCCAGCTCAAGCCAGGTCAGTTGACGCAGAGTCCAATGCCAATAGCTTTGTTTGATGAAATTATGGAGCTCAAACTCAGATGCTGGTTTAGTGACTTAGTAACTTCGGGCAGTTGTGCACAACGATGCACATCGTAGTATGACAAGCCAGAACCTCCACATACTTTCACATTTTTGGCAAGAGATAGAGGCATTCTCTTAGATCAAGTTGCCACACAGGTCACTGTCACCATTGCAAGGCATAGAGTCAGAGAAAAGCAACAAACAGCCCCAACAGGCAAAATGTTCAGCTTTGGTGAAACATATTTTTGTTGCTACATGGATCGGTATCTTTCATACCTTCATCATTCCGCTCTATTCAAGCATGGCCGGACGTTCTATTCTTTGTGATGTCCATGTGACTGGTGTGCTTAAGATTGCTTAAGGGTATACAGCTCATATGGCGTTGTCTCAGCCGTGCACAAAAATCTGTGAATGTCCACGTTTAGGCTTAAGCCTCTCAACTCTACAGTGACGACCCTGCTCACCTGGAAAAAACGTCCGGGGGGTTCCGTGGCAATGCACGGATACTCAGGCATTTTTGTACACCTGAAGACCTGAAGAGGGCAGAGCCTTGTGTTGTGTTGCCCCTGTGCCCTGACAATGATTCATGTGTGGACCTAAGAACATCTATATAAGAAAGGCCGTGGACTTTTTGACAGCTTGTGGCTCTCCACTGGTCGTGTCCACCAAGCGTTCAGGGCGACTGCAGCAGTCGTCAGATATGTAGCAACGAGCCGGGTCCCCAGCTGCTCGATAAGAGCAGCCCTTCTTAAGTTGTGTCAAATCGGTGCCACGGTTTGTCTCGTTTCGGACGGTGTCATGGTTGAGAGCGAGCTTGCTTTGCATGTGGATTTTTGTTCACCTTTGTCGCAGCATAAGTACCCCTGTCAATGTTGAAGCTATGAAACTGTGCATGCAGTGCCAGGATAGTTCGAGGAACTTCGTGGCACCTTGCCCCAACCCAG